GGAAATACTTACATTGAATAACAATTCAAAGTCATCAAAACTTAATCGAATAATTTGACTAATTTTTTTTGATAACATATTATACAAATCACTTTATTTTCATTTTAAAATAATTATATTAAAATTCTGGCCATTATATCTGAATTTTTAAAACAATTGTGTATCATTTTTATTTTTTATTTAAAAGAGTATTCAACTTATTTGAAATATTTTCAAGTGAAATTTCAATTTTATTGATGCGATCCTTAAGAAGATCCTTTTCGTTATCCTCATACTTTTCCATTCGAACCTTTTCCAGTACAGAACATGCGAGTTTCATTATTTTCTTATCCATTCGCGAGCAATTTCCGATGAATGAAAAACAAGTGCTACACTTTACGGGCTCGAAATCGGTTTCGACGGCGTCTGTTTTCTTTGTATATTCAAGTTGAACAGGAACCGAGATCTCACAATTTGTATTCGGCTTAACATGAATTTGAAACGACGGTTTTAATTCTTTGAAAATACTGATTGTGGCACGAGCAAAGTACTTCATGAGTGGAGAAAAACTGTGAAAAACGAGAAAATTTATGTTGAAAACTTGATTTTTCATTGAAAAATTTAAAAAATTTAGAATTTTTTTAAAAGTCCGTATTTTTCTCAAATTCATTAAAATATCTCACCTGAAAAAATTGTTACTATCCATCAATGCCTTTTCATACCGCGAAAGAACTTGAACTCGGCGGATGTAGTTGGTTAATTCGGCATCTGCTTTAATGGCTTGAGTATCGTTAACGGCTAAACCGTTTAATAAATTAAGGAGAACCGTTGAAATGATAAAAAGAAATGCAATGAATACGAAATAGCTCCATGGGCTATTATCAAAATTAATGCTAGCTGCATCGAATTCCCCGGTCGACATAACGAGGGTTTTCACGATTGAAAGTCCAAGTGAGTCAAATTTATTCAATTTTCCATCTTCTTCTTCTTCTTCTTGTACAACTTTCGTATTTGGTTGTGGCTTATGGGTATCGACTTTTTCGCGCAATAATGTGAAGAATGACAATGAAAATGCAACTAACATGATGGCATACAACGATAAACCCTTTAAGAAGCTGCATGTAACCGTCTTTAACATGACGTAGTGTGTGCTAAACGACCAAAATGGTAGCGAACCGGCCAGTAAGAATATTTCGATGGCTATCAATAGAATCGATGATGCGGCAACTGTTCGACGCCATTCTTCAACGCAAAGATCAAACAAAATCAACACCACCAGCACAATTAAAGTACATTCGAGATAGTTTTCTAATCCTTTTAAATAACTACGCGGCGCAAATATAAACTGTGATATTTCTCGTAGCGTAATATAAACAGTCAGCACGATGGTCACGCTCCGCATCAAATGTTTTAATTCATACGAACTGGGTTCTTCGTTATAACACACCAAAATATACGAAACTGTGCTTATGGCGAACAATGCACACAGCAAAAAATTCACATAGAAAAAGAATGCCAAACGATTCCATTTCAAATACAAGAACGAACATATCAACGGGTGTCTGATTAGGTGACGAAGCTCTGTTGAATCAGCGATATATCTATTGGGGAAATTGAAATATATTAGGTAACCCAAACGAGTTCAAGAAAAAAAGAAAAAAATGTACTTACTCGATGGGTTCCATTTCGTCTGGGCACACGTCCATCACTTTTTTACATTCATCGGTTGATGTTTCGCGTAAAGTTTCGCGCGTTTCAATCGGAACCAGATTGGTGTAATCAAATTGAATGGCAAAATTGTCGTCTCCCGGTCGTGCTTGATTGGTGGTGATGCAATTGTCAAAGTGTTTTTCAAGCACTTTTGGGTTGATGCTTGAAATAGTAAAGCGATTGAATTTATTTTTCACACCAATGTAGGCGCCACGTCGCAATAATTCCAAAATAGCATCTGCATTATTGTATTTAACGGCATAATGAAGTGCAGAACAATCGTTGATGTCGGTTTGATTGATATCGATATTCGGGTGATTTAACAGTATTTCAAAACACTTTGTATAGTTGCATTTTTGTGTTACACGTTCGCCGATGTTCTGTACAACGATAGACAGCAAGGCACCCGATTGGTTTAAATTTAATTTTGGTGATTTCGTCAACACCTCCAGGACCTTCCAATGGCCAAAGTGGCAAGCGGATTTAATTGGATTTAATGGATCATATGGAGTGTCTACCGGTAGATTAACATCGGCGCCCAGACGTAACATTCGCTCCACTGCCGATGTCAAACCTTTTTTGCAAGCCAATATCATGAGCGTTTCGTTGTTATCAATTGCATGAAATAGTTCGGGTAGCTGATCTGGTTTATATTCGGCGATGAAATTAAGTCCTTGCAAAAATTCCGTTTCATTTTCATTGAGAAGGCTCACCATCAGTCGATTGAAATCAAAACTTTGCGCAATACTTTGATCACGAATCGGTGGTAAGTCCAAGTCTGGCATCAATTTTGTAAGCGTAGTTCGTGCTTCACCTTTGCGTGGTGTGTCGATGTCAACATCACCATTTTCAAGCAAATACGTCACGATCAGCTCTTTATTCGGTGCACTCAAGTGTTTATTCTTTAAAATGGTGAGAATTGGTGTCATTTCACGCCTGTTACCAATATTTAAATCAGCAAAATGCTTCAGTAATAATTTCATGCAACGGTATACAGTACTGAAATTTGCATCGGATATTTGTTCGGCGAGATAGTTAATCGGAGTTAAAGTAGAGTATTTTGCATCGACATTTACACCGGGATCGCTCAATAAAGCGGTGAGGTTATCGTAGTTGTGCGATTCAACGCAAAAGTTTATCGGCCGTTTTTGATGCTCCGGATTGAGCTAGAAAAAAAAAAACAAAATAAAAGAAATTAATTTTTAAAAAGGTAGATTCATTTTGGGTCATTCATTATGACAAAAAGGTCTTCTTAATTTAAATGTTATTATAGCCTATTAATAATAGGCATATTTTACAATCTTAAAACATACTCTAATGAGCAGGGCCAATGAAAATAT